CGGATGTCTTTTGGCACGAACCAAGAACTCTAAAAGACAAACGAAAAGAGAAGTGCGGTAATTTGTCGTTCTTTGATTTCGGACTCGAGCACAGCTCCGTGGGTTTTATTGCCCGTCGAATCTAATAAATGACGCTGCTGGGCGCTTGGTTAATATTAAACCCAATGCCAATGCCCATATAGCGCTCGTTACAGAAAGTACATGTACCCATGGCCGGCGGTACAGCAGAGTACGGATGGTGCAGTGCAATTTCACGGCGCGCAGCGAGTAATATAACGGCGCGGAACAAATTTCAATCTCGTCGATGGAAATAGCGTCTGCCCCCGGTTTTTTTCTTCTTTTAATTCGGATCCCCTCCCCTGCGCTCCCCACAAGGATACAGTACCAAGTACAGACACAAGCCAAAGAAAAAAAAAAAACGATGAGCTATCATTCCATCGATGAGCATCGCCGGTCCACGGTCAAGGGTTTGCGGAACGTCTGGAAACGTTGTCGAAGCCGCAACCCCGGCCGGGCCTCGCTGGGCTCGCCGCTTGTTGTCGCGTCCACGTGCCGCGGTATATTCCACATGGACCTTGTGTGTTTTTTTTTATGTGGTTTATACTCGTATCGGATTGCTATCCTCGTACTGGCGGGAGGCTGGGAAGGATCTTTGGGGTAAATTAATTGAACCAATCCGTCTGATTAATTAAACTGGCATCTGCCTTGTTCATCGCGTCCAGCCAAAATACCGTTTTGTATATACTGTGCAACAACAATGACGGAATAGAAGCAAAAGAAAATCTAGCAAAAAGAATTTTTTTTTCTTGTCAAGCCACAAGATCCGTTTTCGCGGCGTTTTGCGACTCAGGCTGCGTCTATTCCTCCGTACGAGACATTTTTCCAAAGTATCTGGCCGAAGCCAGCTCCTCCAAAACTTGTTGCCACCGCGCCCAGCCAACACCGCCCTTGGGGCCCCATGCGCCGCAAGCACCGGCCGTAATCGCGAGACCCCCGGCCCACCAACGACGTCTTTCTTGTTTGGGCGCCCAGGCGCTGTTCCAGGCCAACCGGCCCGCCTACAGCTCGCCGCATCCAGCGGGCTTTAGTGCCCTGCCTAGCACCGCCTGTAGTGCCAAATTGTGTACATAGAGGCGCTGGGCCCCCCCGGACGCCCATCTTCGGCTTCACCTACTTGTGTCTGGGTGTATTAATCCTCGCCAGTTCCTCTCTCGACTATACCATCATATACCTGCCCCCCCTTTCCCTTGCACAGCGGCCCCGTTTTCCTCCTTTTTTAAATAAACCCTGTCGCGATACTATTAATTCCCACCTGGTTGCTTTGGTTCGGTCCTCTCTGCCTTGCCTCGGGGTACGTCTCTTCTGCGCCCAATGCATGCGTCTGGTGGAGTCTCACAGTCGGTGGCCGTGTAACTCCCTCCTTCAAACCCCATCCCGCATATCCATAACTGCACGCAGGAGGAACCACGGCAACGATGGCTTGCAGTCGGTGTAGGTAGAGACTACAGACGAAACGAATCTTGTGCATCGACAGGGGGCTCGTTGAGAAAGTGGAAAGTGGGCGCTGTTCGAAATTCCGAAACTTAAAACAAGAACCCAGAAGGAAGCATATTCGAAGCCATCAATCTTCTTCGTCTACTTCCCGTTATAGCCTCTCTCTCTTATACGTATACGCATACGCAAGCAAGCCACAACAGCATTGCGTATCTGTATCACCCTCACTCCTCTTCCTTTTATAATTAATTCTCTTCATCCTTTAATCACATCCACGCTCACACATATTCACACACACACACAACATGGTCTCATTACAACCGCAGCCGTCGAGCCTAAGCGGCCACGGCAAGCTCACCAAGTCGCGCAGCCGCATCGTCGTCAAGCCCATCCTCAAGAGACTGCACCACGTCCACTCACAGCACTCGGAGCGCAACTCGCTGGACCTCAACCGCGGCTGGGACGACCAGCCCGTGGCCACGACGCCCGACGTCGAGTACGGCTCCTTCGACTTTGGATCGCGCGACCTGGACGACCTGACCACCGAGAACCGACGAAACACGTACGGCTCCTACGCACCTGCGCCAGCCGCCGGCACAAAGGCAAAGGCAAAGCTGTCGCTGTCGCGCGACGTCAGCTTCAGCGGCGAGCTGGTCAGCCCTCCTGGCCTGGGCCGCGCAAACACCTTCTCGGGCTCGCACACTCGCTCGACCAGCGCCGGCGCCTCCACCAAGCCCACGCCCAACCGCGTCGGCTCCTTTGTCCACCCCTTCCAGCAGATGCCCCGGACGTCGACGCCGCCGCTGCACTCGTACGCCAACTCGGTGTCGTCGGTCGACGGCCTGCCGCAGCAGCGCGACCTGGGCGGCGCCATTGCCGAGAGCGACGGCGACGGCGACGGCGACGAGCACGAGCCGCTGGCCTCGCCCGCCTCGCTGTGCTTTGGCCAGACCGAGCCCGTCTCGCCTGCTGCCACCGCCACCAAGAAGCTCTCGTACTCGTCCAGCCTGCGCTCCAACTCGCCCAACTCAAACTCAAACTCCAAGCCGGCCGACCGCCCGTCGCTCTCTGGCAGCCAGCGCAGCAGCTCGGATGGCCCGTCCTCGGTCAAGATCAGCACCACGCGCTCCAACTCGGGCCCTTCTGTGCAACGTCTCACGCAAGCTGTGAATCCGTCCGCAAACGACGCCTCCTCCTCCTCTGCCGCCGCCGCCGCCGTGCCTCTGCTCATCTCCACCACCCAGCAGAAGTCGGCTTCCAATCCCATCACCTCCACGTCGCCCATCTCCCCCTTCCGCACGTCGCTCGACGTCAACGGCTTCCGCCTTCGCTCGCGCAGCGAAATGGACACCGTCAGCCGCCAGGAGCAGGTCCGCGAGGCCCGTCGCAAGTTCGAGGCCAAGGAGCGCGAAAAGGAAGAAAAGTACGCCCGGGAGCAGATCCGCAAGCGGGAGCGCGCCGACGCAAAGGAGGCGCAGAAGACGGAGCGCGCGCAGGCCTCGAAGCGCAAAACCAGCTTTGGACACACCAGCACGCTCTCCAGCGCCAGGAACTCGTCCAGCGTCCGCGAGAAGAACGAGTCGGAGCCCCTCAATGGTGGTGACCGTGCCGCGGACGAGCAGTTCCAGGCCCCCTCGCGGAGTAAGACGGCTAAACGCAGGACAAACAGCCTGTGGACGGCCTTTATCCTGTGGCTGCGAACCCGCCTTCTTAAGCTGGCCAGGCGATCATAGGCCGCTGTCAGCAGCACATTCCAGCCTCCATGCTATACAACGACCCAAACTAAACAACCATGAATCCATCCACCTACTTTTGGGATTCAATTTAATCCGAGTAACAAACAATACTGTTACCAGGGAGCGAAGTGCTAAATACGATTACATGTACATATACAACCTTTTTACCTCTCACCTTGGTCAACCAATCAATTTTAGCGACACATATCACCAGCGAGGTCGAGGATGTCGGACACTACCGCCGCCTCAAAGTTTATGATTTTTTTGCTCTTTTTTTCCATATCTTTTCACGGCTCTTGAGTTGCGGTCGGGGAGCAACAGACCCCAGGCAAAACGCAGCATCCGGCAATGCCGTGATTACCTTTTTTCTTTTCTTTTTTTTTTTTTTTGCTCTTTTTCACGCGAAACACAATTGAGAATTTTTGGTCTTCTGCAAGGCGTTACGGGAAATCAACAACCATTGGGACATGGTTACCAAGCATTGGGCGGAAGATATGTTTGACTTTTTATTTCTTTTTCTCTCTGATCACTCAAAACGGAAATGATTTTGAGTCTTGACGAATTTCACTTTTTTTCTATTCTGCACTCCATTTTTGGACTTTTACGAATTGCATACAGGAGGATATACGCATTTTACCACAGGGGCAAACCCGGGCTTTGGAGAGTTACTCAAGGAGAAACATTTGGAAAATACAAACCATGAATCCACTCCTTTTTTTGAGAAAGACCCCAAGCAAAATATAAGAAACAAATAATAAGAAACACACAAGACAAAAAAAAAAGAGATATTCCTTGGGGCATAACTTTTCTGTTCCCCAACGGATTGAGAGAAACTTGTTCGGGATTTTTCGACGGAACCACTCTCGTAATGCGTCTAAACGCACGAGATATTTTCTGGAGAGTGAAAAAGGTTTTTAATCAACTTTTTTTTGGGGGCCGAGGTTGGGATATTTACCATAGAGGAGAGGTTCATCCGCAAGGTCTTTTGTTAGGGACATGTAGTTAGACTTTTTACGTGGTGCGAAATACGAACAAGTTTCAGAATCACTTTTACTGAGAATGTTTCAATGAATTGCTGTGATGTTGACTTGTGCATGTGTGATGTATAGATTGTGATGTTTGTGTTGTTTGTTTACTTGTTTGTTTTGATGTTTGCTTACTGGGTACTTTATCATATGCATGTCCGCATGCATAAGTGTTGCCGCTGCCTTGTTTGTTTATCTGTTGGGGGCTACTTTATCATGTCTTGTTTATCGCTGGTGACGGCCTCGTTGTTATACAGCATGAATACCAACGCGCCGTGCATTAGATAGCTTGCGACAATGTGATTCGCTACAAGGTTGGCGCGAATCAAGATCGTTTGTGCCTAAAAGAGGGATCGATCACCAGGGGCACAGCGATGATCTTGGATCGGTTGATGGTCTGTCTCTTTTTTTAACATGTGAGGCGGGTTGGGTTACACTGAGATTTGGAGAAGGGTGGGTGGGTTGGCGGGATGAGAAAGGTGTCATTGTAGGTTTTTAGTGAGATTGGAGGCTTTGTTTGAGCTTTTTTATATGAACAGGGAAATAATATAGAATACATGCATCTTGGTGAAAGATGGTGGGATATATAGCTAGAATCTTTAGTGATTACTGCGACGAACTTGGAGTCAATTGACACGCTCTCTTACATGATCCCAAAAAGCTTGATATTTCATTACAACGTTTATGCTCTAGTAAGAGTCTCGTGAAACTTATTCGACACTGCTAATACATCGTAACCCCCGTCTCACAGCTTCGACCTTGATCGAACATCAACCGGCGCCCACCATGGATACCCCGGCGGCGCATTCTCATCTATCGTGTCCTTGAACTCGGGCTGCCTCTTCTGCAGAAAGCTCTGGATCCCCTCCTTGGCATCGTCGCTCCTCACAAGCGAGTAAAACAGCTTGCTCTCCACGAGATGCGCCTCCTCTGGCGTCGCCGGCGCGCGGTACACCTGGTTCTTCATCACCGCCGCCGACACCAGGCTGACATTGGCCGCAACCTCGTCCGCGATCCGCAGCGCCGTGGGGAGCACCTCGGCCGCGTCGACGATCTCGCTGAACAAGCCGTCGAGCAGCTTGTGCCCGGCGGGATAGACGCCGCCCGTGGTGGCCAGGTGCAGCGCCTTGGAGGTGCCAATCAGCCGCGGCAGGAAGAAGCTGCTGCAGGCCTCGAAGCAGAAGCCCCGGCGGCCAAAGACGAAACCAATCTTTGCGGCGCTGCTCGCGACGCGGATGTTGGCCGCCAGCGTCATGGTGATGCCGACGCCCACCGCGGAGCCGTTGAGCGCCACGACGACGGGCTTGGTGCAGTTGTACATGGCGAGGCTGACCTGGCCGCCCTCGTCGCGGTGCACGTCTGCGTTGGCGCTCTGCTCGCCGCCGGCGTTGAAGTCCATGCCCGCGCAGAAGAGCTTGTTCTTGGGGTCTGACGAGGTCAGGACGATGGCGCGGACGCGCGGGTCCGAGGAGACGAGGCTAAAGGCCGAGATGAGGGACCGGGCCATTTCCTGGGTGAAGCCATTGTGGGCGGCGGGACGGTGGAGCTTGATGATGATGACGGGCGTGACGGCCGAGGAGGAGGCTGGGTGGTGGGAGAAGAGGAGCGTTGGGAGGGTGAAGGTGTTGTAGCTGGAAGGGAGATCGGGGGCCATTTTTTGTGAGTGAGGTTGATGGAGTTTGTGGTGTTGAAGTTGGGAGGCTTGAGTGTGTGAGACACTCGGTTGTCTAAGGTTTGAACAGCAAAAAGTTGGGTGATAAGATGAGAGGTGAATATTAATTGAAGATTCGTTTGATGATGTAAAAATTGTGACGGAACAAGGTTTGGATGAGATGAGATTCTGATGATGCCGTCTGTAATGCTCGACGCTCACCGGATGTGTGATTACTGGTCCAAGACGCTGGAGCCGTGGACCTCGGTTCCCCACAATGGGTGCCGTGGACCTCGGTTCCCCACAATGGGTGCCGAGTCCGTGTGGGGTGCTAGCGTCGAGATCTCAGCGCTTTACCCTGTATAACGGTGTGAAATAAATCAGAATTATAATATTAGATATTGGTTTTAGATTTATCATTAAAAGAGGGTCAAGTGTTGAGAATGTTGGTAATTCACTATTTCATCATTTACACTCGTCTAAATGCAGGTCTGTAAAGCTCCTTGTATACGACAAATAAATGATGAAATGTAAAAGAGCCTGCAGATGTGTTTGGCAACGGCTGCCCCTATTCTTTTATCATTTCTCTACCAACGTGATGATATGAATATTCTTAAGCCATACGATACAAGAACTCGCGGCAGATATTTCGCATCAATCCTTGTCCCCTAATCCGTTTGTAATCTCTCTGTAACCTTCATCATGACTCTGCCAGCCGGCCCCGCCGTAAAAGCCCAAGACTGAATAGCATGGTCGCCCAGCTTCGTATCCAGGTCGGTATACGAATATTTTGGCTTCTCCGAGGGATTGTGGTCTCGGAGTTCAAAGTCGAACCAGCGCGCCACCATGACAAGCAGAATCTTCATCTCGTCCAAGGCCAGCGGCTGGCCGAGACAAGATCGCAGACCCTTTTCAAAGGGCCGGTATGCGTTGCGGGGGAAGCTTGGTTCTGCCGACATGAAGCGCTCTGGCTTGAATAGTGTCGGCTCATCAAAGAACTTGGAGTCGTAATGCATTGTCTGCTGGGAAATGGAGACGAGGTGGTCTTTCAGGGGATATGATCGCCCCTTGTATTCCATGGTCGGCCTACTCTTTCTGTTAGAAACCAAGCAAGCGTAGGAAAGAAGATGTTGCTTACATGCTAGATGGCGCCGCGCGAATACTAAAGCCTACGGTGAATAGTCTCAGTGTCTCGTTGACGACCGCCGTAGTATATGCTAGATTATTGATGAGCCCAGGCTGCTCTTGCAGCATCTGGACTGTCTTGTCATGGTCCTTGTCAAAGACGCGGTCGTGTTCCTCTCGTAGCTTCTGAAGCGCATCTGGGAACACGCTGAGAAGCATCAATATGTACTGGAGTCAAACATTAGATACCAACTTTTTCCAAAGAGACAACAATAAACTATGGGGCTATCTCACCGTTGACGCATCCGAAGTGGTACCATATCCCGCGGCCAATAAGCCATTCACGCTGCCGATATACATGTTAGCAAATTCCCATACATGTACAAATGACGAGGGGAGCCTCTGTACTTGTCGAGCATTATCCTCAACATGTTGTCCCCTAAAGGACGTCCGCTTTGAACCTCTGATAGCATCATCCTATCCAATAGGCATGTGACGCTGCTCTTGGTTGGAGCAACATCCTGCTGTTCAAGGGCAGTAAATCGAGCCCTTATTTTCGGCTCAATGGCCGTCTCTACACGGGTCCACAGCTGCTTCGCTTCCCTGCCAATGCGCCACTTCGCAAACGGGTTGTTTGTAGCATTGTTTTTTCCCTGGAGGTCGATGGCGCTCTTGACGTCGTCGTAGATTTGCGCGCTAAGCGTTTCATTCAAGAGAATCTTTACCATCACTTGGAATGGATAGTAGCCAAGCTCGCAGCGTATATCAGTAACCTTGCCAGACTCGGCTATATCCGAGAAGCGACGGCGAAGAGCTGCGGCCTGCTCGATAATAGAGCCATGATTTCCTCTTATAATACTTGGGGTAAGTCCAGGCGCGAGCGTCTGATGCAGATGCTTCCAGAGAGGTCCGTTTGTCCCTTCGATAAAACTGGCGCCAACGTTACCTTTTAAGAATTTGGTGACCTCTTCATGCATATCAAACGTGTTCTCAGTTGTCGGGATAGCGCAGGCCTCGGGAGAGAGGCAGAAGATGAATTGCGGGCCAAGTGGCCAGAGGTCGATGTAAAAGACATCGGGGAGATCGTAGTCGGCTTTGAGCTCCGAGACGACTGACTGCAAGTGTGATCCCCGGGGCAGTTTCTGAACGTACTCGCCAATGATCTTCAGATGGCCCCAAATCATCGAATGTGGCGGGCATGGCTAAACGGATTAGTCAGTTTGCAGCCTTTTCTCTCAAGATAAAGCTGTCAGCGATTGTACATGCTGGCCAGTAGAAGCCATACCAGATCACGATACTTTGAACGGTGGTGTACAAGTCGTACTGCGAAATATGCCAATGCAGTGACCGAGCCTGCGCCCAGGAGCCACAGCTTGTCGATGGACATGGCTGTAGAGCTGTAATGAGATGAGGCCAGTCTGGTCAATTAGAATGTCTAAATAGAATTCAGGAGTCGACCAGTAGCAAATGAACGCGGCAATGGCTGCACTTATATGCCAGGCTAGCTCGCCGGGAGCTCATTATACCATAAGATTTTGGGGTGGTGGCGCTTAATTCTCTCTTTTCCCCTCATTTGGATTATATAGCTTGGATAAATACTTATAGCGCAACGTATAGAGAAGTTGCTAAATATCAAATCCATTTAGAACATGTCTTGATAGGTTGGTGGACTATCAGGATCCAAGCTGCAGGATCAAGCACATCATGTGGGTGGGGTCACAGGTACCTGATCGCTATAATGTGTGGAGTGAAGCAGATGTACAGTGTATATTTGACAGTAAAAGATCGCACTGTAGATGACTAACCGCCGCAAAGCTTAAAGCTGCATGCCGCCTGGATGGACTCATCTGACAACATTCTCCACCCAAACTCAACCATGTGCTCGACCACTTCGTCGCCAAATCATGGGCTACGATTGGGCGAGCCATAAAGAAACATGCCAGTCATGGGCTACGATTGGGAGAGCCATAAAGAAACATGTCACCGGCTATATATCCGCGAGGGCTGGTCCCTAGAGCGCATCATGGACTATCTGAAGACCGGGTTTGGCTTCACACCGAGGTATGCCCAACTGTACAATCTTGCACGGTGACGAATCCCTGTGAAAGTAGATGATGCTTGCGATGCTCGCCACGCCTCACCATAGAATGGTCCAATTTTTACGCAATGCGGACAAAGTTTGAGCGTCTACCTAAATATTTCTTCTAATTGCTGATATGAGAGACTGCGATGCAAAGTGTAGCCAGGATGGCGGAACTGACATTTGACGATAGTCGACGTGCCTTTCAGGCCCAGTTCCGGCGCTGGGACTTTCCACTCAAAACAAAAAGCCGCTGCCAAGATGACCGGCTCCTAGGCCGGATCAAGGAGCTGTGGGAGCAGAACTTCTCTCCCAACGAGATGATTAAGATACTCGTTGATGAAGGCTTTGATGCAGGTCCGCATGAAATAATGAAGCTCCGTCTCAAGAATAGGTGGTTGTTTCGCGGTCCTAATAACGAAAAAGCAAAGGCTGTCGATACGTCTGCTACTAACCCCAACGATGAGCTTCAACTACCAGAGAATCTGGAATCTTCTGCTTTGCTAGATGTGGATGATAGTACCTTGTCTCTGAAGCATGGCCAGAAAGGCGAGGGGGAACGGGGAGTGGAGAGAGAAGACGAGCGAGAGGCAGATGCTGAAGACGCTGATGAGAGCCCATCAAACCATCCTCTTTCCACGCCCTCGCCTGGAATCGGACACGACGACGATACGAACGCTACTGAGCCGGCGCAGAACCAAGCTGACAAGAACAAGAAGAAACGAAATCGGTTCAAGACGGACGCCTCTGGAGCCATCGTACGGTTTCCTTCGGAAATGACGATTGACGATGCTCGAAGCAAGTTGGGTCTGGACAAGCCTACCTATCGTTCACTCCGTATTACATTTCAAAACATCTGTACGGCCATGGACGTCAGCAAAAAATCTGCTGGATCTGAGAAATGGGAAGCTGCCAAGACACGTCTTCTACATATAAGACCCGAGCTGTACCACAAGCTGTGGACGCCCGAAGATGAATTGGAATCTAAGCAGGCCGCATTGGATGTCATCTGTACAGACATTGCGAAAAGGATGCGCTCTATGGATTCTAAAATGAGTGTAGCAGAAGTCAAGAATGCACTGGGAATGAATCCCCAAGAAGCAAGAGATGCCCGCATTGCTTTTAACGAAGTGCTGATCGAAGCGGGATTTACCACAAAACTTGATTCCACGCCTACACCTCAGCAATGGGACGACTTGAGAAGGCTATGGGGTAGCCGGTCAGATGTGATCCAGAAGATTATGGACGACATAGACAGTGATCCGAGTAATCGTCTTAAAGTCAAAGCTCTCGACGTATTATCCCGGGATACCTTGAAAAGACTACGCGACAATCGAGCTAGCAGAAGCCCGAAAAAGCAGACACAGTCTGACCGAATTGAATCAGACATGAGCCAGTTCACTGATGGTTTCGACACCAACCATGATGATGCTGGCCTTCTACTCGGCCCGCAACTATCCGCTGGTCAGATAGATCTGGGAGATGGCTTGTCCCCAAGCGCACTTGACGATGTATCTGACGCCTCATATACTCCTCAAGCTATATTGAGTCCCGACAGTGGCGCTATAACGCCATATTTACCTCTATCTTTGCAGCCCTCGCACGTGGTTGGGGGTTCTTTAGATGCTCCCACTGCCACTCTACGCCCGCAAGCCCCTCCCTTGTCTACTCCGCAAATATTCAATCCTGCAGAAGCCCCCAATGTGCACTTGGACTCGACGGTTGGACAGTCATTGTTATTGGATTCGGATGCCGGCACGGGCTTCCTAAACGAGGCATATGTAGCTCCACCATATGGCACTACACACTCCTCGGCGCAATTATTTCACCATAATCCTCCAATATCGACAGCATACGCCGTGTATTTCCGAGCGCATCCATCATCGACCTTTATCCCCAGCGAGCCGTTATGGATAGCTACTATGAGCTCCAAATCGGTGCAGGAGCTACGACAAGCTGCGACTGATAAGCTGCCAGGAGCGGCTTGTGTTAGGATCGAAGGCATTGTGAAGGATGGCAGTGGCGGCGAGATACCCTTGGTGATTAATACCGACGAGCATCTCGCTGCTTTCTTCTCATATACCCTAGGGGAGACACCGACTTTCAGCGTTCTGCTGGTATGGAAAACTGGCGATGCTGGCCGTTTCTAATTTGTCTACTACACTTGGTAGTGCCATGGGAGCAATCCTTTGTCTTTTCTTTACTTTTTCTTTCCTTCCTTTCCCTCTTATTCCTTCATGTTTCTTCCCCCTTCGAGATTGAGACCAAAGTGTTCCAAAGCTTCAAGTAGAGCATCTATTTCGTTTGATATATTTTCCCTTAACGTTGGTTGTATGCAGCAGCAGCAAGACTGGCGGCAGCAAGACTGGCGTCAGAGGACACGAAAGCATGAGTCAAATCGTTGTCTTGAGATCTATCAAGATCTATGATACGTGTACCTGACAAGGGTACGTCAGAGGACACGAAATCATGAGTCAGGTCGTCTTAAAATTAAAACTTGGGATGCGTGTATCTGACTTTGATTGACTTAACGTGGGGTTTTAGAGCAGATAATAATACTATGGTTGGTAAATAGAGCCTTTGTAAGATTACGGATAATATATACAAGATTATTACAAGCAATGGTATGGCTCCTGACGGAGTTGCGGTAGCGAAGGCTAGACGTTTGCAAAGCTGACAGCAATTCTATTTACCACTGAATAAAGAACGATCGACTTTACCAGGCCTCTTCCTTCATCGGAAGATTAATACCCAGCGGTTGAAACCTGATTGTAGTTGATTGCATTGCCGAAGCAGCCAATCGGCATAGAATAATTGAGTCTACATTACTGCGGCAACACCACTTGCTAATATATTGTATGTGATGGACGACGGCGTTCGTCTTCCGCCCTGCCCCATTACCGCGGCTATCCCATTTGCTAGCACGCTCAAGCAACTGCAGCTATAAATAGGTAGGTACATGTTCTGACTGAATCTCAGACCCACCCCCACTACCGCAAAAGTTCAAGCTTCACAATTCGCAATCGCAAAAGTTCGATGCAACAACGAGTCAGGCACGCCTTTGCAGTTTTCAATACCCGATTGCCTGCTGCGGCCGGCCACAATCTACCTTTACACAATTGACAGCCTTCGATCCGCACGACCAAATGCTCAAGTGCGGCTCGGCAGCGCATCCCTTGCGCCGGGGAGCAGCTCTGCGGAGCTTCAAGGGCGCGGCCGCTCGGCCAAGAGCAGTTGCGGCGCTGCGACACTACGCAACGGAGATTGAGCCAGAGAGGCCGAAGCCTCCCACAGAGGGAAATGAAAAGAAGCTGGGGAGGACGTTCCAGGGCCAGGTGATGGGCAGCATTGGCGCGCGGTTGAGGAGAGAGAGGGAGCAGCGAGAGCAGTACGAGAAGTGGAGGGACATGACGGATCCTTCGCGGAACTGGATGCTTACCTTTCGTGAGGCGCCTTGAAATCTTGAACTATCATGATGGTTGTTTGCTAACGTTTTTGGCGTGCCTTTTCAGTCTTCCTATCGAGCATTGGTATTTCCTACTGGCTGGGGACATACCGGCGACGAGAACCCGAGCCGGACTCGACGCTGCCGCTATCGAAGACGACGCCGCCGTCGCATAACATCAAGCTGGAGAATATGCAGGCGGCATGGGCAGACTTTGTCAAGATTGTCGGCAAAGACAATGTGAGCACCGATGAAACGCAGACGGAAGCACATAGTACGTCCGAGTGGTCGACGCATCCTGCCGGCCCGGAGGAGCGTCCGTTCTGCGTGGTATACCCCGGCTCGACGGAGGAAGTGTCAGAAGTCATGAAGGTTTGTCACCAGAGGAAGATTCCTGTCACTGCTTATAGCGGGGGAACCAGTCTGGAGGGACATTTTACGCCGACGATGAAGGGCATTTCAATCGACTTTGGCCGGATGGACAAGGTTCTGTCTTTGCATGAGGAGGACCTTGACGTGGTTGTTCAGCCTGCCGTTGGCTGGGAGGAGCTGAATAACCAACTGTCAGAAAAGGGCCTATTCTTCCCTCCCGACCCCGGCCCAGGGGCCATGATTGGAGGCATGGTTGGCACTGGATGCAGCGGCACGAATGCTTACCGATATGGAACGATGCGGGAGTGGGTTCTCAGCCTGACGGTTGTCTTGGCGGACGGCACAATCATCAAGACTAGGCAGCGCCCTCGCAAGAGCTCTGCTGGCTATGACTTGACCAAGCTCTTCATCGGATCTGAGGGCACCCTTGGTCTGGTTACGGAAGCCACGCTCAAGCTGACAGTCAAGCCTCAATCTGAGAGCGTTGCTGTCTGCTCGTTCCCCACGATCCACCACGCAGCGACCTGTGTGCGCGATGTCGTAGGAAAGGGCATCCCCATTGCGGCAGTCGAAATTTTGGACGACAATCAAATGAAGTGCATAAACGATTCCCAGGTGACTTCGCGCACCTGGAACGAAGCCCCCACGTTGTTCTTCAAGTTTACCGGCACACCCAACAGCGTCAAAGAGCAGATTGCCCAGGTCAAGACTCTCGCCTCGCAGTGCAATAGCAAGACATTTGACTTTGCCAAAACCGACAGCGAGCGAGAAGAGCTGTGGAGTGCTCGAAAGGAAGCGCTATGGAGCGCCATGTCCATGAAGAAGGAAGGCGACAGAATGTGGACTGGCGATGTAGCCGTTCCGATGAGCAAGCTGCCTGATGTGATTGAGGAGACAAAGGAGGACATTCGAAAGAGCGGGCTGTTTGCAACGATTGTTGGGCATGTTGGAGATGGAAACTTTCACAGTAAGGGTTGCTTCTGTGTGAACGAATGAGAATGACTTACTAATTACGGGGGATGAAATAGCTATTCTTGCTTATAACGAGGCTCAGCGAAAGAAAGCAGAGGCAGTTGTTCACCGGATGGTCAAGAGAGCGATTGCGGCTGAGGGCACCGTTTCGGTAAGTCGACGACTTGTCCTCCCTTTTATCCTGACTTGCTTTGATACTGATTGTTTAACACAAAAAATAGGGTGAACACGGTGTTGGCCTAGTCAAGCGAGACTATCTCCCTCATGAACTTGGTGAGACGACGGTGGATGCGATGCGCCAGGTAAGTTTTTTTTTTTTTTTCGTGATTTATTTTACTGTATTTTTAGGAATCTAGTTAACAGAGAGATGCAGATCAAAAAGGCCTACGATCCTCTGTGCTTGTTGAACTGCGACAAGGTTGTTCGCATGCAGAAGCCGAAGAGTGTGGAGCCTTGGTAAAAAAGACTGGTGGATGATGAACGGCCTGCTTTACTTGCTCGACAAAATGTACGAGCTTGATGAATGTAATGAAGACGGGCCTACGGAATAATAAATGTACTATATATGAGTGTAAACTAAACAATACACCTAAGCTTTACAAGTTGACTCCTGTCAGGGAAATGGAAGCCTTCCAGCTGCTTATCTAATCCTTCCCCAGGACCAGGCGCCCCACGTCATGCCGTCATGGGCAATCACACGCCTGCTGGTCCCTGCGCCAACTTTAAGCTCGTGACGCTGCCTCACCAGTAAGCGACATTCCTACCTTTTACTGTCACCAATTATATGATTGTGAATCCTCCCTTTCCCTTCTCTCAAGAACCGCCTCTGTAATATCATCGCCCTTAAAAGCCCACATCGGAATCAAACGGCCTCCATCCCAGCGTCGAGACGCCATCTACATCCCGTATCCCAAGTGTGTCACTGCTTTCGCAACCCCGCCGACCCCTGGGTCTGTCGCGTTTTCATTTCGCCCCCCTATGGCGCTCTTCACGGCGCAGCTTCATCCCGGCAGGGCGCTTGGGTTCTTCGGTGAGTAGATTTGAAGCTACATGGTATGAACTCAAAGCCCAGTGTATGCCTAACCCATCTCCGTCTGCTAGTCCTCGGCGCGTCCGTCCACGATGTCTTGACTCGGGTCAAGGCCGAGCCGCAAGCGTTCCCGAAACTCGAAGTCCTCTACTCCAAAGACCAGCCCGTCACCGAACAAGTATGCGTCGTGCTACCGCAGAACGGCATCAGATTGCGATTCGACGGCCCTGAGCAGCGCCTTCGACTGATTGAAGTCATCGATTTTACAAAGAGCCACATCACCTTTAAGGACCGAGATCTGGTACGGCCAGCCGGTGCTACTACTGCTCCTGAGGTGCCTGGAGAGTCAACGGCCGGGCCTACTTTCAGACACATATACCATCGACTGCTGGGGCCAACATACGCGGGCGAGTTTATACCTCCGGCGGGATCTCAGGGCAACGGAACATATGTGCTTTCATATCCTGGGGTGGCTTTCAACTTCTCGGTGCCAACTTCAGTGTACTCTGCAGATAAAGATGTCGTCTCATTACTTTCTGCCTCGTCATCCCAGATCGCGACCTCCATGGCGATCTTCAGTGGGAATTCCTGGGCAGAAGTACGGCCGACGCTTTGGACAGAGGTGCTGCCTAGCGTGAAGCTGACTTCCATGCTACCTCGAGGAAAAGACGTTTACCCCGATGAAGTGTCTTTGATACGACTACACGGGGGAGGCAAGATACAGTTATTCAGGAAATGGACAACCAGTTCATTTTGGATTATTCTCGGCGAGACGACGCCGCAGGATCTGGTGGCGGAACTCGGGCCGCCGAATGCGATATACCGCAAGAATGATCAGAAAATGGTCATTCACAAGATGCGAGCTGCCAGCAACACACATGGGCGCCCTAATATGAAGGATCTAGGGCGACCAGACGAATTAACAGACACGGATCAGTCATCGATGCATACCGGCTCTGACGAATCAGAGAATGAGGCCGCGGTCGAGGAGGATGGAGGAAGCAATGCGTCAGGAGAGTGTTTCTACAACTATTTCTACTTTGGCTTTGACATACTCGTGTCTACGCCTGTCCCTCCCTCCAGCCTACCACCCGGCGAAACAAAGGTACCAGACGAAATTGGGAATGGAATCAAGACTCATGCTCCTGATCGGCTAGTCGCGACAAAGTTGGTGCTCCATGGCAATATACCCGGCTCATACGAGTTCAACCGCCACCGCCGATGTCGATGGGAGATTAGCTATCTGGATGACCTGTCTAGCGATGGCGGCCCCGTCAACTCAGAGATGGAATTCAAGACGATTGAGAATCTCATGAGTAGGAAATGGGAAGGTGTCTATCCTACAGACAAGACTCAGCCGCGACAAGGGGGTATGGTCCTGAACCGCGGCTGGGGAGACAGCCCAGGTAGCAGCTGCGAGTTTCTCGGCGGGTGGGAGGAGAGCGGAGCGAGACGGCCAGAGGCGAATGGCGATTCTACAACTACGCTGTATGGATTTCCGGGGATGGTGTTTGAGGTTTTGAAGAATGATTATGTTAATACATTGACGGTGTTTTGAGTATTAGGCTTTTTGAAGTATGAAAGAGAGGGGGATTTGGTAGTTGATACGGGGGGAAAGGAGTTTTGCATATATTTCTACGGGAGCGGCATTTTGTAATTTTGAGAGTTTCTTATTTTTCTCTTGGGGTACCCTTTTGGGCTGCTTTGGGCTGGCATATCACATAACTACTATGCATAAACATATTTGGAACCATTCTGTGGCTCCTTGAATCGACATTGGTTTGTTTTCTACTTTTATTAAGCTAGGTTTTTAGCGGTGGCTCTGACTGTTCTATCTGACCTCTTATCAATTTTTATCTTGACCGGTAATTCGTGCAAAGCGCAAAAGCTGACTGGCTTACGAAAAAGCATTGCTTGATACTGCCCGCGCTAAACCTGCCTGTGTGATTTTGAACGTCATACATGCATTTCGACTCCAATCAAGAGGAGCCGTTGCAATTAGGACCAATCCTCGCGAATCCTACTGGTGAGACCCCGCCATTGTATCTAATACCATCAATAGCTCGTTTCCGACACGCAAGCTCGTTTGCTTCCATTGACTATCACTGAACTTTCAGAGACGGGTCCAAATTGGCGGTTTGCCATTTCCACATCATGCCTACCATAACAGAGCCTCAAATCCAGTCTGTGCTCGTCGTTGGCGGAGGAGGCTTTGTGGGATCGCATGTCGTTCGCGCTCTTCTGCTGGAACCAGACTGCGACATATACGTGGCAAGCAGGACGCCGGACAGCCACCCGGATCAAGACAGCCGCGTTACTTACAAGACCGTTGATATCACGGATGAAACTCATCTCGCCGCGCTCTTTGGCACGATTAGGCCACAGGTTGTCATTCACACCGTCTCTCCGTCGCCAACAGCATCGGCAGAAGCGCTGGAACGCACCAACATTGAGGGAACGAGAAACTTGTTGAACGTGGCGGCTGCTAGTTCCGAGACGCGGGTGTTTGTTTACACTTCGTCTGATTCGGCTCTTGTGCTGACTCAGGAACCAATTGATGAGGAACGGGGGCAGCTGTATACGGCACAGAATTATAGTAATGCGTATGGCAAAACGAAGGGCATAGCTGATGCAATGGTTATTGCTGCGAATGGTCCTGGCTTGCGGACGGCAACGTTGCGAATTCCTGTTGTTTACGGAGAATACGATTATAATAACTTACTGCCGCGGCTGTTGGGGAGTATCCAGAGAGGCGAGCAAAGGATGCAGGTTGGTTCTGATTCGAAAGTGTTTGAGTTTTGCAGTGTCCACAAAGCTGCAGAAGCGCATGTATTGGCGGCCAAGGCGCTGTTGCGTGTTGATTCTGCTCCCAGGGGAGATGCTCAGCCTGATGGCCAGGGATACTTTATAAGTGATGGAAAGCCACAGCCCTTCTTTGACTTTATGCGGCGCTGCTACGCTGCTGCTGGAGCGCCGGTGAAGCCGGAGGAGGTGAAGATTATGCCGTTGTATATGGTTCAAAGCATTGCTTCATGCACGGAATGGGCGTATATGATCTTGACGCTGAATTATAAGAGGCCGAGTATGCGGCGTCAGGAAATTGATTATCTTGATCGGGGGTGTTGCTGGGACATTTCAAAGGCAAAGGAGAGATTGGGGTATGAGCCTGTGAAGGATCAGGATGAAGCCATACGAAGCATGATGGAATGGGGCATTGATAATATTAAAGTTTGATCCACTCAAAGTGCTGTATTGCCCGCGTCCGGATCCCTGAGAGTGACCGGGATTGACTATGTTGTCATCGAGGAGATGTTGTCTACTTCATATACCTGCTGCACATTTCAAACTGGATAAGCTCTTCAATGCACGCTCTGGCTTTGTTCAAAGTTGTGGAAGCTCATTTTACCTGTAATCTTGAACTTCTTACTATAGTACTCGAATACAGCAGGACGTTGGTACAGTTTAGTTTATTCCTGTTGCACTTTTCTTTATTCATGTGATGCGCAAAGCAATAAAAGAAAGACGGAGATTAGATCTGAATCTCCGAATGGAGCCAGAGCCTAGTTCCATAGCTCTTGACTCAACGCACCCTGTCTATATTTACACTGTTTCAACGATCCTTTACGAAAACAGATCCATCAAAAGAACACGACATCAGCTCCAATCCTTGCCAAAGCATAGCTGCCTGATATATCGGCTATCGCATCTCGGAGCTCCGAGCAGTGTATCGTGAAGTTTTTTTTTTTTTTTTTTTCTTTTTCATTTCCCTTCGTATAGCAAAGATGCCTTTCCAATGTAAGATCGGCACTTCGGCCTTGGTTAATGACCGATCCGTGAATCAAAGTTTGTGATGCAAATTCTTCTGCATATCTAGGCCGTATTCAGAAGCCCTAATTGCCAGATTGTAAAACGTTTGGCGGTGCTATCATAGCTCGCTCCTCGGAATATCCTGGTTTATGCTAGATTTCAGTGGTTGAATGACGTCTGAAGGTGTATCCAAGTCTTCTGCTAGCTTGTGTCTCTCCCCCCTCCCCTTTTTTTTTGTAGTTTGCTTCTCCTCCTATTATTTTATGGGTGATAATGGCTGGCTGTTCATTCATCGCTAGGGACTTCTAGTTCAATCCACCGTGATCCCTCATCAAGAGGAACGGTAATGCCTTGGCTTTTCGCAGCCATATAAGCTCCTTTATCAGCAATATCGTTGCCCTCAACCCCTGAATGACCAGGGACCCAGCATAGCTCGAGATGAACTCCCATCTGTTGAAGGCATTGGGATCTCATAATGAGTTTACAGATATTGGGATCGCTGCACACCCGGGTCTTGCCGACAGGTTTCTTCTCCCAGAAACTTTTTACCTGCTCCAAAGCACCTCGGCAGTCTGAGTAGATTGTCACCCTGGGGTTGGCAACCATTTTTTCGGCGCCACTACCATTTTGATGCCTCAGATGCATGATAAGCTCTATAGCGACTGCTGTACCTTGCGCAATGGCAAATATTTCGGCGATTTCTGCGTTTCGCTCCTTGGATAGGGCAAAGTATCTCCTCACTTGCCAGTCTTGGCTGCCTTGAGGTGTTTTATAGACAACAGCGGCGCCGAGATGAGCAATCAAGCCCGACTTGTCATTGGGTTTCCAGATCAAAGAGCCGTCTACAAAGATTACTATATGCTGGTCGTCTGCAAAAGGCTTTGAAGAGGCCTCTACAGCCGCAGCATAAGCATCACTTGGGGATTGCTCTGTAGTAATGTCGCCGCAAAACTGTAATCCTGATGTAGCATTCAACAGAGCTCTATGCATTCGATAGCTGGCCGTTTGGTTAATCATTGATGCTATCTGGTGTGCGATCTTGCGGAGTAATGCCTTAATCTGTTTGTGTTGTTCATCGAAGTGACTAGGATCTGATCTAGTCTTCTTGGCTGCCGGTGAGGTCTTCACTTGAGCGCAGATTGGAGGAGTGGAGGATAAATGTCGGGTGCCATTTCGAGGGCCAATATAGAAACGAGGGCCGTGTCTCTTTATGCGTACACTTTGGTTAGATGAATCGTTTTGATGCTGCGATTACTTGAAACTTACCGTTATGATGCTTGCTAGGCACCTTTCCATTGCTGCTTGGCGTCTCTAAATTCTCTGACTGTACGTAGTGACGGCACCGAGCGAATAGGAGTCTTCCAGGGGTTATTCAGCTTCTCTCTTTCCCGAATGTCTACTGCTTCTTGGTCAGCTCGCCTTTTTCGCTGCTCAGGTATCCCAAGACTCGGCCAGCGTCAAGCGGTATACTTGCCTTGGTGGGTAAATCCTGGTGGAGCTCCTTGGCTTAGACGGTCGTGGCCAAAGAAGCTTGAAAAAGACTAAAAAACTGGAACGGCCAGATGGGGAAACCGGACAGGGAAATAGGGATATACGCCGTATTCGCGTATTTACAGTTGCGCGTAGAGGAGAGTGAATTCTACAAGTCGCCAGCAGTGTCGGTGAGTTGGTGGAATAAAGGGTTATGGCGGGTGGTGATTGGCCGTTGCGCCTCATGCGCCCTTCAGCCTCAAGTCACTTCCGGTGCAGTTCCATATCATAATTAGCAACATCTGAAACCATTCACTCAATACATAGCCCGTGCAATGTGAAAACACAAGACTAAAGTGCTTTGGTCTGTGACTTGTAATAGCAAACTGTAGGCCGCCCAATATCAGTCATGCACTACACCAAGTGCCGCGCGGGGCAGATTTTTTTTTCTTCTAGTGGATTCACAGGCGTAAAGGGGCCGCCTGCTGGAGTGAGTGCCATTCGGTCGATACAGGCGGTAACACTCCCATGTTCGTATTCAATGCTGCCACCATTGAAGCCTCGTGCAACCTACCACAAATCATCTGATGTAAAGGATCGATGCTGATGTGGGCTCGTTCCCCTTGTTTCCCCTTCATCTTCGCTGTTCATGAATCAACATCCTCCGACTCAAATCATGACACACAGCTCCATTCTTAGCACCGAGCATCTGATCGAATAAGCCGTCGCGAGGCTTGACTTATCGTCACTCGCGTCGCTGCTCGGGCTTGCGCAAACACCGGGGCCTGGCACTCCAGCTAGAAGCAAAGAGGCAATCCTGGCATCGGCTAATGTCAAAGGGGACATGCTACGGGCGCCCAATAGCTTCTGAGGCCAGCGCCAGCCATCCCCAAGAGCTGCTGCCACTGGCCTATCCCGTCAGCCCAGCGCTGGCACCCGCTCTCGGCCGATGCCCTGCAGGCCCGGTATGAGATGGCACGCCCCCGCTTATGGAGCCTTGCAGGCGAAAAAGGTTCCAATATCCAGTCGGGGAGAAGTGGTGCAAACTCCAAGGCGGAAGGCGTTTATTACTGGTACAAGTGATGTGCGGTGAGATACGGGGGGCCAATGCGTGGTCTACGAGATACGAGACCAACGGCAGCCAACAGAGCCAGTCTGACGGCGATAAACGGGCTCTAAGCTCGCATCACGCCCTCGATCTCGACACGGCGCCCAAGATGGCCAAGAACCAGGTCCTGGATCCGCATCGTGCAGTTTGCCTCCAGCCAAGCTGCACTTGTGCCGTGCCGGCTTCCGGGAATCGGGCCAAGCCCACGCCGAAGCTCCAAGCAGCCCACCTTCGTACATACGAACGTGCAAACAATCTGGTCCTTTTAGTGGGCCGCCGATGGCTTTTTGCTATATCTTTTCGGCTTTTCTCAGTGCCAGGCGCAGATGCATTTCGAGGTTTCATTCTTGTTCCCTATTCTGCTGGGAATGAGGGCGATCTGTGGCTCCCGTTGACGGCTACCTTTCTATATAATCAGTGGCATCCCCTATCCTGGACAGTCCCTGAATAGTCCATTCTCCTTCATTCCATCCCTTTTCACCTGTCCAGTCGGTTCTGTTCTGTCTCCCTATCAAAGGCGACGAAAACGCGGCTCTGCAAAGCTTTGAGCTGGAGACGGGCAAGGCGGGATAAGAAGAAAACTCGAAATAGATTGCCACGAGGTGTCGCCACGCGAAATCTCCACTAAAAAGTCTCAGTCAAATCCAGCCCGTCTGCTGTTTCACGGCCGGCCGACGCCTCGTTATGGCTGCTGATCAAGCCACAACGCCCAGCGGGCGAATCAGCTCAGACGACACAGTCGATGCTGCGCACAGCAGCGACGGCGAGCTCAAGGGTGTCGAAGCTGGTGTTGGTGTTGATACCAGCAGAGGATTGGGAGACAAGGAAATTGGCATCTCGTCAGTCGAAAAGGAGGATGAGGCATCGGCGTCGGCATCAACAACGACTCCCGCTGTCGAGGGACCTCCCACGCAGCAGCCGCCAGCAGATGAGCCCGAGGCTGGACGGACAAAGGTCGAGACCGCCCTCGTCATCTTCGCCCTGTGTCTGGCGCTGTTCCTGGCCGCTCTGGACATCACCATCATCACCACCGCCATCCCGACCATCTCCAACCACTTCAACTCCAGCGCCGGCTACGTCTGGATCGGAAGCGCTTACATGCTTGGCAACGCCACGTTCGTTCCGACATGGGGCAAGATTTCCGACATCTTCGGCCGCAAGCCCACCCTCATCGCTGCCGTTTCCATCTTCTGGATTGGGTCGCTGGTATGCGCCCTGAGCACCAGCATGGGCATGCTGATTGCTGGCCGTGCCATTCAGGGTGTTGGCGGTGGCGGCGCCATCGTCCTGCCCAACATCTGCGTCTCCGATCTCTTCTCTATGCGCAAGCGCGGCATGTACTTTGGCATCTTTGGCATGATTTGGGCCCTTGCTTCATCCATCGGACCTATTCTCGGTGGTGTCTTCACCAGCAAGGTCTCTTGGCGCTGGTGCTTTTATATCAATCTGCCTTTGAGCGGCGTTGGACTCATCATCCTCATCTTCGTTCTCAAGTTGCACAACCCTCGCACGCCCATCAAGCAGGGACTGGCAGCCATTGATTGGCTTGGTAATCTTCTCATCATTGGCGGTACACTCATGCTGCTCTTTGGACTCGAGTTTGGCGGTGTTCAGTTCCCCTGGGACTCCGCTGCCGTCATTTGCCTACTCATCTTTGGCGTCGTAACAATCGTCCTCTTTGGCATTTATGAGGCCCGTTTCGCCAAGTATCCCGTTATGCCCGCTCGGCTTTTCCGTGATAGGACCAGCATTGCCGCTTACGGCGTCTCTATCTTGCATGCCATGACATTCATCTCCGGCAGCTACTGGCTTCCCTTGTACTACCAGGCTGTTCTGGGCGCTTCGTCTCTTCTCTCTGGTGTCTATCTCCTGCCATACGCCTTGTCTCTATCCGTCTTGTCGGCCGCAACGGGCATCTTCATCAAGAAGACGGGCAACTACAAGATCCCCATCATATTTGGACTCAGCTTCATGACCCTTGGTTTTGGTCTCCTTATTGATTTGGGTGCCAATGCAAACTGGGCCAAGATCATCATCTTCCAGATCATTGCCGGTATTGGTGCTGGCCCCATCTTCCAGTCTCCTCTCATTGCCCTTCAGACCAACGTTGAGCCGCGCGATATTGGAGCCGCTACTGCCAGCTTCCAATTTCTGCGTCAGCTTGGAACGTCCACCTCTGTTGTCATTGGCGGTGTCATCTTCGACAACGAGATGCAAAAGCAGCAGGCATATCTGATTCGCGAGCTTGGGCCCGAGCTGGCCAGCAAGCTTTCCGGTGCCGAGGCCGCGTCGAGTGTGTTTTTAGTCGCCGGCCTGAAGGGTCACCAGCGAGACGTTGCCAAAACCGCCTACTGGAACTCCATGCAGAAAATGTTCATCGCCTACACCTGTTTCATCTTTCTTGGCCTCCTCATTAGCTTCTTTATCAAGCAGAAGACGCTCAGCAAGCAACACACTGAGCACAAGACGGGTCTTGCATCGCTTAAGCAAGAAATGAAGCAGAAGCAGCCCGATGCCGAGAAGGCTGTGGGCGCTACTGAGGAAAAATGAAAACAACAAAAGCATACATGTCCGCTTTTCGATACCAATTTTTTTTAATGCCTCGTTTTTTTTTTTCTATCTCACATTGGATTACGGCGTTGATGATACTTTTGGAAAATGGGAAGATGAATGGAAGAAGACTTTTGGCGCTTCACGACAATAGATGTCCTTTTCAACATGCCTCTTCTCTTGGCTATATTGCTGTTTTGCTGTAGATTTTGCATATAGGCTAAGACCAACACCACTATATAATGATGTCAATAAAAAGAAATGAGACACTTGACGATGCATGTCTTGGCCATTGTGAGATTCAAATTGCGTGTCACAGTAGATCGGCTCACAGCTTGGTGTTATGTAATCAAAAGATGTGAAGGGTTGCTGTGGTGACGGCTCTTTGCAACCAACTCCGCTCACTGCGCTACGTTAGTACCGAGTACTTTACGACAGTGACGACTGTGGGTGTGCGACTGTGTAGCTCATACTGCCCCTGTATTTACACTACCAGCCCATACTTTTGAATCCCGGCACATGCCTGCATATTCCGCACAGATTCTTTTCCAAGGCCCTTCCCCACCAAGAGAATTAAACCTGTGCCGCAACAAATGCCTGTTTCCTTCATATCGCTTTCTTCATAATAGTCTCCTGTACCTAGCGGCTGTGTCTTTTCGGGGTGAGCGGACAGGCTCTATTTACGCACTGGCCGACTGCACTAGAGAGGTACCCCGGTACAATCTGCCGCCTAATCTCCACAGCTTAATCCCCGCCTAAGGAAATATCAACAACAACAGCACTCAGCCATACATACACCCACATACCTTAACGGAAAAAAATTGAAACGACTGCCTTTATCGGCGGTGGTGGTCATACTGCTGTCAGAATGGCTCACCTTCGAGCACGCTCCGACCGGGAGCTCAACCGAACTGCAATGAGCTCATCGAATCCACGATCATCCGCTGCCAGAACCGGCACGCGTCACGGCAGCAGCGTGCGATCCTCGGCCATCTCAACACATCGACATTTCGCCGCGGGGGCACGAGGCGATCGGTCGAGCGCCATATCCCCCGCCGAGTCGGCCATGTCGGCAGCGGCCGGGACAAAGCGCAAGGAGCGCGACTTTGAGGCCGACGTGGTGGTGGGGGGAGGAGATGAAAGCAACATCAACGTCGTGGTGCGGTGTCGCGGCCGCAGCCAGCGGGAAGTCAAGGAGAACAGCGCCGTCGTCGTCAACTCGGACGGCGTCAAGGGCCAGATGATTGAGCTCTCGATGGGGGCCAACGCGCTGAGCAACAAGTCGTATAGCTTCGATCGCGTGTTTTCGCCGGCGGCGGACCAGGCCATGGTGTTTGACGATACAGTGAAGCCTATTTTAGAAGAGGTGGGTTTTTACTCTGTGCTTTTCCATGATTGTTGCGGGCCGGGGCGTCTTCTTCGCATTCAGAATGTGCTAACAGGGATGGCTAGATGCTTGCCGGTTATAATTGTACGATATTTGCCTACGGACAGACAGGAACAGGCAAGACATACACAATGTCAGGAGACATGTCAGATACACTGGGCATGCTCTCTGATGAAGCCGGTATTATTCCTCGCGTGCTACAACAGCTCTTCAACAAACTCGAGGTCGATGGGACCGACAGCTGCGTCAAATGCTCATTCATCGAGCTATACAACGAAGAGCTCCGAGACTTGCTCTCCACCGACGAGGGCGCAAAGCTAAAAATCTACGATGACGCCTCGAGAAAAGGCCATGCGACTACACTCGTCCAAGGCATGGAGGAAAAACACATCAAGAACGCGGCTGAGGGAATCAAGGTGCTCCAGGAGGGCAGCCTGAAACGTCAGGTAGCGGCGACCAAGTGCAACGATCTGAGTTCTCGAGGCCACACCATCTTTACCATTACCGCATATGTCAAGAAAACAAACGACCAGGGCGCAGAGGAGCTTGTCAGCGCAGGGAAGCTGAATCTGGTGGATCTAGCCGGCAGTGAAAACATCCAGAGATCAGGCGCAGAGAACAAGCGAGCAGTGGAGGCCGGCTTGATCAACAAGTCGCTGCTCACTCTTGGACGAGTCATCAACGCTTTGGTGGATCGTAGCTCCCATATTCCCTACCGAGAGTCCAAGTTGACTCGCCTGCTGCAAGATTCGCTTGGTGGTCGAACAAAGACGTGCATTATTGCCACCATTTCTCCTTCAAAAAGCAACCTCGAAGAAACGATTTCTACACTCGAATATGCGTTTCGCGCCAAGAATATCCGCAACAAGCCTCAGCTGCATATGATTACAAAGAAAATGCTTCTCAGAGATTTCACCGTGGAGATTGAGAAACTGAAGAGCGAGTTGATTTCAACGAGACAGCGCAACGGCGTATACCTTTCAAACGACATGTACGAAGAGATGACGGCGCAAAGCGAATCAAGGCGAATTGTGTTGGAGGAACAAAGTGCGCGATTGGAAACCCTCGAAACAAACCTACGAAACAAGGTTCAAGAGCTCTTTTCCCTCAACATCTCATTTATGGGCATGAAGAAGGACAATGAGGCGACTAAGGCGCAATTGGAAAATACACAGGGTGTTCTAGATCAAACCGACATCATCCTCGCAGCGACTCGGAAGACATTGGCAGAGGAGACTGAGCTTCGCAAGGCTCACGAAGAGACGGAAGAGAGGCTGACTGAGATTGGTAGTGCTCTGATTGACAAGCTACAAAAGACAGTCAAAGATGTCAATGGTCTTCACGCAAAGAATAAGCGCAAATCAGAATTACACTTGCTAAATCGAACGGCTTGGAGCTCATCTCAGTCCCAGGTTGCCGAGATTACGTCCATGGTGGAAAGACGCATCCGCATGTTCCAAAAAGAGCAGCAAGAGCAAATTTTGGGCGTATCAAAAAGGATGGAGGTGTTTGTTGACGAAGAACTGCAAAAGGTTTCAGCCACACAAGCTTTCTTGGATGAGAATTTCGATACTTTTGCAGAATCCAAGAGGCAGCTTTTAGAGCAGAAGCAAAAATCCAAGGACGAAATGGACGAGGTGCTGGAGGAAATCAAGGAGATTCGCGACAATGTCAAGGAGAGGGTTAGCGAAAGTCTTCAGGCCATCGCGCACGCTGCGGAGAAGATTGCTGGAGACGTACTGAATGAGATGGCCGACTTTCATGGCCAACTTCACACCTCATACAGCTCTCTAGGCAAGGATTTCAAATCTATTTTCGAAGAACTAGTCCGGCATATCACCACCCAACGCCTCGAATCCGACAATTTGAGGCGACAGCTGCAGAGCGCGACGAACACCATTGTGATGCAAAATGCAAACATCTCTACACGCATGCAAGAGGCATTGGAAGAGGAGAGGCGAGTGGCGGCTGAAGAACGCCAAAAGCTCTTGACGCAAATCTCAGCTTTGATTACGACTCAGGCTGAAGCGCAGGAGAACCGATTCGCAGAAAGGACTTCGCAGGTCCAAAAGAATATGACCGATTACAACGCATCTCTCGAAGGGGCCATTTCTCAGTATGGCCAAGGCATGGATTCCTGGGACGAAAAGGAAGGCGAGCTGCTGGAGGAGGTCAAGAAGTCGCGTGAGCAGCTAAAGACAAAGCTGAAGGACGATTGGAACGCGGCAGAAGACCGCAGCAATGCTATCCGAACCACAGCCAACCAAGTACATGCCGAGACTGTACGTGTCGTGGGGGCCCAGATTGACGACTTGGATGTCCAGATGGAGGCCATGGACGACTTTGTGGCTCGTGCAAAGTCTGAGAGCGGCACTCATCATGAGTCGCATGTACAAGCTTTCCAGTCTCTGTCTAATACCGTGGATCAGTCATTTGGCAGTATTTCTGCTCACTTCAAAACCACCTTTGATCGCGTCAAGAATCTCGGCGAGGGCATGGAGCTTGATACTAGCGATCTGCGCGACGGCCTTCAGCCTCTTACATCGCAAATCTGCCAGCCTTTAGCGAGCCTGCGAGAACACGTTGGTAAAACAGCGCTACTGGATTATCGACCAACCGGGGAATCTCCTCAGAAAGCACAATATCAGTTTCCCACAAGCCTGCCTCGCACTGAAGCACCCGACCTCATTTTCTCAAAGACTGGTGAAGAAACTCCCGACGAAGCTTCCACTGAGGCAGATGACAGCAAGAATACCATCGTCTTTGCCGATTTGGATGCCTCCGAAAAGATGAGCTCACCAACACCGTCGTCGGCCGATAGCCTCTCAGATAGGATCGCAAGGCTACGCGAAGTCAACCCCAACGTATCGTCAAATCTTACTACCAGCGCCATCAACTTTGAACCCGGCTCAAGCCTCATGTCTGTCGCCTCAGATCACACTATGCCGCTGTTTAAGCGCAGCAACCGTTCTACGCGAACGAGTCTGAGGAAGCATGATTTGCTTGGCGAAGGTCGCGAGAATTTACCCTTGACGGCCTTGTCCGAGGCTAGGAGAAAGAGTCCGCGGATGAGTTGAGGGAAAAAAAAGAAAACACGAGCAAAGTTCACCTAATGCTATGACTTTGTTAAGATGATGGAGCATTGTTTTTATTCGGATTCTTTCTTTCTAAATCGTCTGGGGGGGGAGGAGGATCTGATTTCTGGCCATATATGCGAACGGCTGCCTCTTCTTCCTAATAGCGGCGGATGTAACATGCTACATCATTTGCCATTATCATTATTATTACTGGCCCTTTGGTTCCAAAACCGACAATGCCTCCGTTTTTAAGAGAAAAGAGAGGGGAGGAGAGAATGGCAGTTCAAGAAAGTTTGTAAAATTTACGGGAGTTTGGATTAGTTTATATGGGATGCAGAGCGCTCTTTTTTCTTACACTTGCACATACATACTACCTGTGCGCTGGGCACTTCTTCTTCCTTATTAGAGGGAAGTGAGGTTTGGAAATATGGGCGGTCATTGGAACGGATCGGGATTGGGTGGTTATCATGTTGGTTCTTCTGTTGTTACTGGTGCTGAATTCAGGGTTATTGAGCATCTGATACCCGTGTGCTTTTTTTTTTTCTTCTCTCCTTTCCTCTTGTGTCTTTCTTATTTTTCATGATTCAAGATATTGGTACGATTAAGAATTCGACTTTATTTTGCACTTTATTTTTTTATCACCATTCTTGACTGACAGTTCAGACTATACTTTTACTAAGCAGCTCTTTCAGGAAACAAGACGCCTCACTAACTAAACTCCCATGTGCCTTGATGCTCTAATTCGTAAACTTGTCATGTGCAAATGTTATCCCAGTCCATAACCAAAATAACAATAATAATAATAAGAAGAAG